ATCAGTCTTGATTGCGATCATTTTTAGTTTGTCAGTAAAAGAAAGTAGAAATAAACGACAAGAAAGGATATCAGATCGAGTTATGATAGATATACATACAGTGAAATAAGTGATTCAAAAAAAAAAGTCTACAGGCATACTGACAGAAGCAACAATGATCAGAAATCTTCGAAACTGAATCTCATAGTCGGTATTTTATCCAGATTTTCCCTTTTGGAGAAACAATGCAAAATTTCGAGAAGATGAACACTTATTTTAGGAATGATAGACACATATTACATGTTGCAATAACTACTAGCGTCATTCTGGAAAAAACACTGCCCTCTAAACCCTTATTCTGGATAAAGCATTGCTTAGGGTGTTTCCATAATTGTCCATATACCTCAAGAAACTTTTGTGCAATCAGTCAAATACCTGATACTGTCTAAAGTAGTTGTATATTTTCCGAATGCGAATCATTTGATGTGAGCACCAGGCCACAGCCAGTTACAGTGCATGTCTTGGTGGACATAATTTCGTTATTATTAGTATCCATGATACATACCGAGAATTTTCTGAATATCATATTAATGTTAAAACTATTATCAATCAACTATGATAGTTAAGCATTCGGCTTAAAAAAATAAATCTTATTAACAAATAAAACATTTTTCATTTGTCTTTGTTTCATGGTGTCAATCAATAGATTTTCTGCAAAATATTCATTCATTTTACATCTCACAATTATTCTTATTATGTAATTTTTCGATGTGATTAAATTTGTTTTTTATTGTTATAACTTTATTATTTCATCCGAAAAACCAACACTTGATTATGTGTAATACAATAAATAAATAAACTGAATTGTTTTCTTTTTCCCCTCATCACTAATCAATAAAATAAAAGAAATATAATTACAATATTGATTAGTCTATAAGACAAAACGAAAAATGAAGTAGCATTTGATTCTATTGACATGCAATCTTCATCATTATCGAAGAAATTAAATGTTTCATTGATGAAATTAGGCTCAAGCCATTCATAGATCTCTTTTGCATTAGTCGGGTTAACACAATTGTCAAATTTACATCGAAAAGTCATTTTAGTCGTTTGAGTGTTATTAGACCCATAGTTTTGCCTAATATTTAACAAATAATCATCTCTTGACGGATTATAACATGTTACGCTACTATATCGGTTAATAGAAATATCATTCGAAATCTCTTCGATATCAAATTGTCCTTCACAAATTTCATTAGCTGAACACGGCGGTGCACTACTATTGCAACTGGTAGGAGATGTACCAAGTGTTGTGTTGTAAATTAAGTCACCTATATTTTCTTCAGTTAAGTTTCTATTCACTAAAGGTATATTACGAGCACGTTCTAATAAATTGTTAAGAAACTCGATATCACAATCATTTTTCTTACACGTATATCGGATAATTGACAATAATGAAAAGTCTAATTTAACTATAGTGTCTACACGACGTATAGAAGTTTCACTGCATATTTCCATACCTAAACGACCTGTAGCTTCACGTTTTTCATGATTAATTTCCACAAATACTGAACACTGGGAATTGCTTCGTGTAATAAATTGACATGCATCGTCTACAGGTATACTGCCATTAATTGGCATACGAATAAAAGCACATAATTGTGCACACCGAAGCGATTGAGAAATACTCATTGGAACCAAAAGAATCAGAAGAAAACATACTCGAGTAAGTTTCATTGTAACAATACTCTCCTTTTTTGCAGTTTTAATGCTCTTTATGAAAAAGACGCACTCATGATTTTGATAACGTAAGTGATAAGGGTTTTTTCTTGCATAGTAACCTAGTACACACGAGAGCTGTGCAAAGAATATTATAAAAAGCATATATTTAGTTACAGAAATAACGATTCGTCGCGTTTTTTACTGTCTCTATTTATAAAAAGATCATAATTCTAAGAAAGACCAAATAATTGAGTCTGAATGAATTTAATTCTCCAAAAAAAACAGCTTATTGACGTTTTTTGACTTATCCAAAATATGAAATAGTGTTACAAACATGTTTGATATTTTACTACTGTTTCAGCTAAAATCATTTTTGACATGATTGGCATGCTTACTGATTGTCATATACTCGATTTTCGAAGGAATGTGCTTCTTCTTATTACAAAATGATTCAACTGACAAAAAAATGAAAGAAAAACCAATAATCAAAATCTTATTCGCTATTAGAGAAAAATAAATTTTGTTCTATTAGTGGCTCATATTATTAAATTGTTTCTTTCATATTTTAAATAGAAGAAAATATACAAAGATCCGAATCAAGTGTGAATGGAAACCATAAGATTTTGACTACAAGATGAGATACATGTAGGTTTGTAGAGTTAGACATCCTGTATCGAATGTTATATGTATTTTCAAGTTCTACTGCATACCTTTGATATGTCAATAAGTAGAACTACCTTAGTCTTGATCATGATAGAATGTGACGAGAATGGCATCATCTATTAATATGTCAACAATATGCACCCGGAAAGCTTGCCAAATACCATAGAGTGGATCAAGTTGATGAATATTTATTGCTAAGACATCAAATTTTTAGTGGAATTTTTCTGTAGCACTACAGTTTCAAAAGCAAAATCATACTCATAAATTTTGATTTGAAAATTTATTTACAGAAAGGCACCGATTAGACTAGCTTGTAGAAAAAATTTTCAGAATTTTTTAACCAACTATCTTCGAGATATGAATCACTCAATAGATCCATATTTTTTACAATAACTATGTCAAAGCACCTATATTTTAAAAATCTCATATCTCGGAGAATGTTACTGAAAAAATTCTAAAGCTTTTTGTACAAGTTAGTCTAACTAGTGGCCTCTATGAGCTTGATTTCACATAAATATTCGAAAGTATAATTTCGTTTGAAAATTCAAGCAACACAGGAAAAACTCACTCTAAAGTTGATATATCAGCAACAAAGACCTATTTGATCGAGTCACTCTTGGATATTTACTTGCTCACTAGACTCTATCGATTAAAAATAGTTCCAGCTTGAAATATTAGATGGAGAAAGTCTATCGGTACAAGCACATATATATGCTGTTGTATAGTCAAAAATGATAGAATAATGTATAGTTGCTTTTATTTTTTGTTACATTTTAAACTTCCAGTTTCCTGAAAGGAATTAACTAAAGAGACTAAAGACTTTCTTAAGTATGTTGATTATTATTTTTTACACATGATGAATATTATTTCGTTTATTGACTTAATAAGAATTCTAATTGTGTTGAATATAAATTGAAATAGATATTACAATTAATCATCATATCCATTCAAGTGAATATATCGTATTGTGTAAAAAGCTTACTTTGACAAGAATAAATTATTATAAATACTTTATTTCCAATTCAACAGCTACTATAATTTCCGATAGAAGTAATTCATATAATCATGAAAATTTTGCTATGATAATTTATTTCGAAGAGAAAATAATGATGTGAATATTATTGAAAATTCAGAATAAAAGGTCAAATGAAATTATTTTAAAATATAAATCATTAAAACTATAGCATCGTCATTTTAGACACAATTGAATGATAGGTTTGATCAAAATTTTATGTGTGTACTGTACGTATTAGGCCACTAAAGCTTCGCCGATCTGTTCAGCTAAGCCAAGTAAATATTCTTCTTGAAATCGTTTGCCTACTAATTGAATTCCTACAGGTTCCCCATCATAAATATCAGAATCATAAGCTTTATATGTCTCCTTATCAAGATCACTCATACTTTTGTATTGCATGTTCTTGATATCTTTGTCTTTGTCAGCAAATGTCACAGATATAGTCGTTGCTGGTCAATCAAGTAGATTAATCACTCCAGTATAGTCAAAATATTTGAAATCATCATGTTTAACAGCAGAATATGAAGCTACAGGCAAAATCCATGCATCTATATGGGATTGTTGTTGCCAAACAGTCAAATACTCTTTTTGATATTTGTACTTCTCATTATGCAGGTTCCAAAGTGATTCAAGGTCTATTACTGGCACGTTTAATTCATACTCTTTTTTAAAATTAGGAATAACCGGTTCCCCTCTTGATGCGATAGCGCGCTTTATACGTACTGCCCCATCAGCAGCAAGGATTTTGTGAAATAGATCAACCCCATACTTATGTTTGTATGGTTGGCATTCGACAACAGTATGATCGACTTTTCGTAAAGCAGTAATAACCTGTTGAATACCACGGAGAATTCGAGGATGTGGCATTATAACACTATCGAATCCAAAGATCCTTTCAAAAAATAATTGATAGTCTTATTTAGAAAATACAAAAAAAAAACACTAATTAATCTTTTAACTCCACACATGCGCCAAAGTTTAATCGTTTAGATACCGATTCGGCTTCGAGTGCAGTCCATTTTCAATTAATTAATAAAATGGAATAGAAGTAAACGAAAACAATGACATTCAGTGTTGGTGACGATAGATCTGTACACAATAAAATAAATGATCTAAAACTTTAATAGATAAGCGCATTCTAAAAGAAAGTCAACGATATTCAAGAATATTTCAATCCAAATTTAAACTTGACCGAACTATATGAAGCTTCTATCACCGTTTATATACTTCAAAAACGCTTAGACAATGATCTAAAGACTCAATACTCTCTAAATCTGATTGAAGAGTACCCGAAGCCAAAAGTGAATTAGAACTATTTCGGTCTCGAATATCAAATCAGAAATCGAGTTCGATTCATGTTTATTGACATCAGTTGAGAAAATATTTTTTGAATGGATTTTTTTTCATGTTTCAATCACATTGCAATCGTAAACGAGCTTCTGAAGCTTTTCATTTCTACTATTTTATTAAACTTTAATGACTATAGAAATATTTTGTTTTGAACAGTAGTGTATTAGACTATGTTTTGAAAACACTAAGAAGAAAATCAGAATTTCATAAGACTACTGAACAGAAAATTTTATTTTTCGATAATTGGTTTTATATAATAATAATCATTTACTTATCCGTCAGCAGCTATGACTCCAAAGACTTTCTTTCCAGTTTTGCCTTCCAAATATCGTGTCTCTCGCCAAGATATATCAATTGATTTCGGATCATATCTCCAAGGTTCCTGTTGTAAAACTGCTTGCATAAAATAAACTAAATCGCTAGCACAATGTGCTATTGGACCATAAACAGAAGGAATTGATTATTTTCCGTCTAAAGTTGTCTTTATATTTTCTAATGGTATTCTTTCATGACTAGGCTTCAAACTCGATAAATTGCTGGGTGATGCTGGTATACGAATTGATCCTGCAAGATCTGTACCAACACCCACTGAACTACCATGAAGTGCAAGTAGTGCACCTTCACCACCACTGGATCCGCCACATGCAAGCAATCGATTGTAAGGATTGACTGTTCGTCCAATAATATTATTGACTGTTTCTCCAAACATTAACGTTTGTGAAATATTTGTCTTGACATATATAACAGCACCTAGTCATAATTAGATATAATGAAATAGATTTAGCGTTCATTCAGTTTCGTAGATCGTTCCGCTTAAAACTGTATCAAACATCTTATTGCTTTTATAATTCCTTACTTTTTTTAGTTTGATATCATAGAAAAATTTTCAAAATTTTCTTTGTAGAATTTTATAGACAACATTGAATTGTCTTATATATGTCTATATTTTACATACCTGCTTTTCGTAACAATTCAGTTAATAAAGTTTCCTCTTCATCTACGGTTCCTAAGCAACTAACATAACCAACACACGATTCCAATCCTTTGACACGAAACTAATCCTTAAGCGAAACAGGTACACCATGAAGCAAACCTACTGTTCATCCGTGCTTTTGGAAATATTCGTCAAGTTCTTTTGCTTGTTTCAATGCAGCATCAAAGCATATTTCAATAAGACAATTAATTCTGAGGCAATCTTTTCAGCTAGCTCTTTGACGTTTAATGCAGTTATAGCCAATTCTTCGGCAGTCAATAAATTACTTTGCTCAATAAATGAAATAACGGATCGTTGGGATTCGGCTGGCAGCTGACCACTTGGTATATGCCATTTCTCAGGAATAAGTGCAAACAATGCTTTTCGTTTTTCATCCACAATTTTTTCCCAAGTCATTTTTGTTTCCATAATAAAGTACAGAAGAATACTTTAACTTACAACTAAACAAGTAAATACAACTGAAAAATGAATTTTTGATATGTGATAATTTGCATTTCATTTTATTAAGACATTTACGTCTAATGAAAGAAAATTAATGATGTTTTGTCTCTCCTAACAAGAACTTGTTGCAAAAAGATAGTATACCAACATCCAAAACACATAATTGTTATAAGAATAAACACGAAAAGACTCCAATAATAGTTTGACACTTATATACATTAAAAAAACTAAAGTACTAAAAACAAAACACTGTAGCCACCTTTCTATGGTTATATAACCGTATCCTGTATAAAAGTCAACGAATACCTTTTAGATAGAGCTATAATATACTAACAAAACACATGACATGTAACAAAAATGAGAGACATGAGACGATTTTCTCTTTCGTTACCAGTGAAGCCTATATATTATTGTAACCAATAACGACAAATTGAAGGAGTAGCGTTATTGTTACCTTTACTATAGAGGTTCACTGCACTACTCTATCACTCTGATTGTATCTATTTCATATAGAACACGAACTTATATACTAGAACGGGAACGAATTAGAAGAGTGACTCAGCAGCTCATACTTTTCATAAGATCAGAGCATCTAGTCCAATGGAGATCGAATAGTCTAACATTATCAAACAGATCAAAAGATGAAGTTCCTTAATGATTAATACAACAAGTCATCAAGAACTCTTTAGTTTGAGTAGATTAGAAATAAAGTGCTTTGCATGATGCTTTCCATTGATTATTGGATATAATATTGACAGAAAATTAAAATACTATACAAGTGATAAACATTAATAATATGCAATTAAATTAACTGTTCGATCATCAATAATAATTACATTTGAAATTATTTAATTATGAATAGCAATACTTGATGCGAGCTCACAACGTAGTTTCATGTTCAAGAGTCTTACTCAGGAATTTTCCTTTTTCCAGATATTTCTTGCATACACATATAATTCAATTTATTTGTATGATCGAATCTTTTTAAGAAAAATCTTTCATATTCGTTGAATTTACTACAAGAAACGTTTTCATAAATAGAAAATATTTTAAATAGTATTGGATTCTATTATCATGAAGAATTGTATTTGAGACAGTTAGTTATATAGTCAATGAAAAAAATTCATTAAGCACCAATTCTATTCGTTTTGATTGATGCTGAAAAGCTTGCTAAGAATTTTCATTCAGATTAAGTTAGTGAATTGTATTATCCATTATTTTGTGAAACTGACGTATATTTTCGAAGAAAATAGTGAATGTAAATTTAAATCGGGGTCTCTACGGCTTGGCTATTCCCTAGACCCTACCAAGTAGAAAGGACGCGTCAAAAACAACAATGTTGAGACAAATATTGCAGGTTTTGGAATTCAATATAGAGACAAGATCGTATTGATTGATATCGATCAGTAGAACGATAGTATTATTGATGTAACAGAGTCAGAATAGGACAAACATAGAAGAGTGTGAACTAATTGAATTATTGGGCATTATTTTTGAATAATATAATTTCAAATATTTTGACAATATACCAGAAATTTATAATAGTTAGAGATTGTGACTTTCACATTTCGACTTCTCACGAAGCCTCACTGACAAGTTTTCTATGCAATTGAATGAATAACAAACGTTCTACGAACAATCACGCACGGTCAAAAAACGATTCTAATAGCTGATAGGTAACTATCTGCAAGCTATCTTAACAAATTTTACTGAGTTGTGTTCATGTCAAATAGCACATCGAAATGAGCAAGATGTAATATTCATAATGGTATTCACATTTATGAAATAGACTCGATTAATACTTTGATCCAACAAGTGATTTACATTTAAACTTTAATGTTTTATTGTTTAAATGAATCACCGTTAATCGATCAGCACAGTAAAAATACTTCAACAAAAACTTGTCCTCCAATTTTTTTTTCTTCAAATATATGGACATATTGTAATAGCAACAATAAATACGCAGATATATGATTGCACAAAAAACTTGTCACCTTACGTCCAATAAGTAACTGGTGTTACGTTTAAACTATCAACGCACTCTATATAAATCCATAAGATATAGATTGTAGCGCTACTTTCTTATTCCTCAATGGCATTAAAAGTTATCTTTACACTTAAAATGTTCATTGGATATTATTATTTTTTTGTTATTGTCACTTATTCATTTTCTTTCTATATCTTTCCCGCCGACATAAATTGTCTATTCATTTGAAAAGTTTACTTTATGGCCATCGATTCTGAAAAACAAGTTTCATCATCAAATGCAACAATAGTTCGTATTGTTGATAACATTAAAAAAAGTGCATCTGATTCATGGCATTATCGTGGGTTAGAACTTTCAAATGAAATGCTTGTTGTACTTATAAGTCATCCAAATATTGATAAAGCTGCTGCTGCACTCGATGTTTCAATTGGTAGTTTAGCTGATCCACGAGATGTTTCTGGTATTGCACATTTTCTTGAACATATGCTATTTATGGGTAGTTCAAAAGTAGGTCTTTCTTTACATTCACCAATAGTGTGAATTCTTTGGTAAATTTGTCTGTTGTTGTTTTTTTTTGCTAGTATCCAGGTGAAAATGAATATTCAAAACTCATAGAAGGTAATGGTGGTTATTCAAATGCATTTACTAGTCCTGATCATACAAATTATTATTTTGATATTAATCCAAGTTTATTACCCGATGCACTTGATATGTAAGTTGTATCCTTTGTTTATATATGTATTTATGTTAATGAAATGAATGAATTTTTTTTTTCTATGTCGATTTAGTTTTGCTCAATTTTTTATTTCACCATTGTTTGCTGCATCATCAACTGATCGTGAATTAGAAGCAGTTAATTCTGAATATGAAGGAAATTTATTTAAAGATATATGGCGTATAGCTCAATTAGAAAAATCTACATCAGATTCAGAACATCCATATTCAGGATTTTCTATTGGCAACACAGAATCCTTAAGAACAATACCTAAACAACGTGGAATTGATATTCAAGAAGTACTTCTAAATTTTTATAAAGCTCAATATTCATCAAATCGAATGAGTTTAGCTGTCCTTGGCAATCGTATGTTATTAGGCTCTCTATTTTTGACAAAATTCTGTCGGATAAAATGACCATGCTTTATTTGAAAAGCCAATTATATAACTTTGTAGAACGATTTGTGGCGCATCAAATGATATAGAGTACATAACATCTTCATCATGTCTTAGTGTTGTGAAAAGTCATATACCAGTTGAGGGATTTTATAGCAATTGAGAGTAGTATGACCAAATATAGAAGACTCACTATGTTTCCAAACCAACCTGTATAAAATTTTGTTTATAGTTGATTGAATAGAATTTTATCTAGCCTTCCGTCGTGTAGACGAATGCTACTCTCACCTTAACTTTCTCCGCCAGCAAAACTTCAGCATTTTGCTATTGTCTGTAATTTTTAGCTTTTATAATATTTTCAATACTTTGAAATTGTGTACCATCAAACTTCCGAAGTATATTAATTGATTATTTTATGAATACAAGTGTATCATTGTCCGAACGTCCGAACAATACCTCTGAGTAGCTGAATATAATTATAGTATAGAACTCTAACTAATACAATATAGGTTCAGTCTCTTATGAGAATAGAAAACTACGTGTTCTCGTACTTTTCTGCAAGTGTCTGAAAGCAAGAAACTTTTTCTATCTTTTTCGGAAGATTCAAATATGCCAAATGACAGAACATGATGAATTTATTATTAATAGATAGAAACTTATTCACTTAAAAATTACTTATCTCAAAACCCATATGCTTTTCTGTTCTTAGGAACTGACAGGTTGATTTGACCATGGCGTGCAATAATTCAGAAGATAGTCAGCCACTATCTTTGGTCGCCTTGGTTCTCAGGATTAAATTTAGATGGTTGAAAACCAGATGAAGCTCTCTTGAATTAAATTTAATGAATATTTTATATAGATAGATTTGTAGACATTTAGAGTCGTAATATTTAGTTATATTACCTGCAATTGATATAATATCTGTAAGTGATATTTTGAATGTCAGAATACTAAAACTTAATAACACAATTTTCTGTATGCCATCGATGCGGCATGAGTTACTCTTCGATGTTGTATAAGTAGTTTTTCAAATGAAGGATTATCATCTCATTCGACACAATTCTTTAAATAAAAATATTTTTTTCTTTCCTTTAGAATCCCTTGATGAACTTCAATCACTTGTGATGAAGAGTTTTAAAGATATACCAAATAAAAAATTACAAAAACCAAAATATTC